TGGAGTGTCGGCCCCCGAATGTTGATTGTCTGCCCTCCCGCCGAAGTCCAAACACATGCAGAAAGGTAGCCCAACCGTGTTTGTTTAGACCCGGGCACATTTTTGGCTTCGGATTCTGCCCTTTAGCACCAGTGGCCGTGGGCAAAAAAAACATTCCTGAAATAGCGCGAGGTGCTTTTGAAAAAAGCCTGCAAAGCCTTGGGTTTAGACGGTACTCCAATTAGGTTTTGCAGGTTCCATAGGGTTTTCACAACAAAATGACATCAACTCGTTTTTGAGGCGTGCATGCATCTTTAATGATTTTCTGGATGGTGGATTTTTTTCAGCCCAAAACCTAGAGTTGTCAGAGCCATCGCGAGAAAAAAGCAAGTTTGAAAGTAGGTTTAGGGTGAATTTTTACTTCTAAATTCAAGGAGAATGCGTTCTACGAAAAAAAATACCTAGGCCGGCAGTAGTAAGAACACACGAGAAAATCAATGGTTTTTGGGTTTTTCAAAGCGATTTCAGCTATTGCGAACGTACTGCTGGTGTTGCGTATATGCATGAGAAAAGCAACCACAAATGTCGAGTGTCATTGACACAAATACACCTCCAAAAGAGCAATGCTTCTACGTCACCATGCCGCACCTTAATCATTTTTTGCATTTGTGACGCCTTTGCGCTGCCGCCCGCGGCGATTGTCAAGATGTTGGCACTGCCTTCCATATGCAACACAGTATAGTGATGTAGAAGAAAATATACTATACTGTAAGGATGCATGTCACGAGCGTACTACATTATTGTTTAGTGTGTCATTGTGTTTCTTGTATCCGTACTGACTCATTTACCATTTGTCCTTGGCGCCTGTTTGTGGATGCATGATTGCTAGCGCAGGTATTCAGCCTGGGAAATTGGGCTCCCAATGCGTTTCAGCTTGCGAAATACGAAACACAGCCAGTCTAAGCAACAGGCCTCTTCCTGACCTTTGGTTGTTTTGTTCTTCTTGGCAGGCATTGCAACGGCAAACAAAACAGCCTGACCACATTGCGAGATCAGCTTGCGTGCAGCCTGCAAACATGGCATCTGACTCATCTGACATGGAGTCCATCCTCAGGTCGGCGGCACAGTGACAAGCCCAGCCGTCGAGCATTGTTTTGTAGTTGGGATCTATTGTGTGTTGCAAGCAAGAGCCAGAGTACATATCTCGTCCAACCGGGCCGGGTGTCTGGACACACTCTGAGAGCAATTTGCAGATCCTGCAGGTAATCAGAGATGCAATCAGTTCGTGGAGGCTGTGAGTACACGCGTTGGTGGTCTGCAGAGCAGATTTGCCGGCGACTGTGCTTACGCCATGCCGCTTCATGGCTGTAGCGTACCCTGCATGGCAGGAAACGACCTCCATGCCGGCGTCGCAGGCCAGTCTGTAGCTCCTGTCCTTATCGGGCCTCGGGGGTGAACGTCAGCGTATATTCGGATGCACGATTAGTGCAGGCACTGACTGGTGAATTGCCGCAAATTTGGTCTGCGCATTTGTGTCCTCAGCAGCGGTGGGCCGACAGTCTGGCCGGCATGTCAGTTCTGGGTGGAATGATGGCAGGGCTGTGGACGCGGAGGTTGTTGGTGCCCTGTTTGTATTGATGTTTCGAGCTTTTTTGCAAGACCTCGCATATGCATCTCAAGATGGTTGCATCCAGCATCAGTTCGGTGTCGCAGTCTCCCTTTTTCGGCACATCTCGATATCAAACCCCATGGTCTTAAGCAGGGAAGCCCATTGAGAAGATCCCCAAAATGGGAATTGCCCTGTCGCTGCAAGTAAGTCAAGCGCAGCGGACCCATCAAGTCTGTGCTCACCACGGCAACATGCGGCCTGTCCCGACCAGCAGCCCCCGCGGACCAGTTCTCGCCGGGACTATCGGCGGCTCTGCACTCCTTGGCCCAGATTCTGCCGACGATCAAGCTGAGGTTCATCCCCTTCAACGCGGCTGGCATGGACACGGCCATGTGCTGCGCAAGGCTGCCATGAAAATGCCGAAAAAGAATAAACAAACAACTAGATAAACAAATGAAATGAATGTGTGTGTATATATATATGTCCTTTGTGCCGCACATGACCATATGCACACAACCATGTGCCATTTTGGATCAAGTGCCTGGTTTTTTGCATGCTTCCTCAGTGCGACAGTCATGGCACATGGCTTTGACTTTGATGGTCTGGAAGCCTCTGAGAGAGCTCGCTCTCAGGAGGATGAAGTGCCGCGCGAGGCTAGAGCAGGCTTGCATACGTTGCCTCAGTCTCGTGACCAGGTTCTTCAGGAAGCTCTTTCAGGAGTGAGTGTTCGAGACCAAGCTCGCTTTAGCTTTCTTCTTGGTCGACTGCAGCGGCAGCGGGACTCGCAGGCGCTGCGCCTTACCTCACTGCCAAGTTGGTACAGTTTCCGTAGGCTGTAGATGGCCCTGGCGAGGGGGGAGTTGAAAAAATACGACCTCAGAGGCCCCAACAGAGAGTAGCAGAGAGGCCCTGCAACTAGTGTGTTCAGAGGCCACGGGTTTCACTTGAAAGCCGCCTTCGGATGCATTGTTTGGCTCAAGGAAAAAACGCAGGGCTTGCATGTAGATGCCCTGGTTCACTAGGGGTTTGGACGTGTTTAAGTACCTTCCTTCCCCTTTGATTTGTATTTCTTTTATTTTACGTATGCTGACAAATTGCAAAAAAGCACCCTTAAGGGTTCTTTTGATCTTAACCGAATTCGCTCGATGAAAGCAACAGACGGACAAACAGCCGCAGCTCACAAGACCGTACAGCCGAAGAAGGCTCACGGAATGAGTTGTTGCATTTGCATAGCAGTGGGTCTTATTCTCGACGCAGTGCAGCGGGATAGTAGCATGTTACTGAGCAGCAGGCCCACGTGAAATGGTGCATAGCCGCATGTCCATTCATGCACTCGCACATCGTGGAAGCTGAGGCGATTGTTCCATCCAAATGTGAACGGTGAAGGGGGCATCTGCCTCGATATTTTGAACGATCCGACGCTTTGGTCGCCGGCAATTGGCCAGCCAACGGCAAGAGGGAGGACGAACTCATGATTTATTTAGATCCTTAAGGTGATTACACTAGGACACGGTTCTTTGCATGCAGAGGACATGGACTAGATGCATTGTCGAGGCTTAGAGAAGCTGCTTGTCAGCGTGGCATCGTTGCTGAGCGAACCTCGAGTAGAGCACGGCTTGAATGACGAGGCAGTGCGTGGCAATCTTACTTTAGATCGCTGTTGAAAATGCTGAAGCAAAGCTCAGCGGGAGGCTCTGGCCTTGCTGCGCTCCGAGCCAGAAGCCTTCAATAAGCGCGCGCGGGCGCGGGCGCGTGTGGGGTTGGCCGCCGACGCCGAGTCGGAGCCAACCTTCCCTGCGGTCCCTGCGCCGGGAGTTCCTGGCCCTCTGCCTGCGACCGCGGCCGGTGTGCTACCAGGAAGGGAAGGGAAGGCCTTGCTTTGTGGGCTTCGAAACAAAGAATTGCGTGTTGCTTCAGGAGCTGCAGAGGGGCCCCAGCCGCCTCTAAAGGACGGGTCCGGTGTCTGCGGCCTCCTCCTTGCTGGCCTGGTGCTGGGACTCGCGTATGCTATTCGATCGCAGAGCCTTTGAATCCGAGATCGGGATGCATCGCATGGGATCTGCTGGGAATGGTGGCATCCGGAAGGTCCTTTATGCTTTTTCGACGTCCCGGAAAATGCCACAAATGCTTGAAGCGAACAGGAGCTGGGTGTCGACCGAGCAGGCGAGCCACCACCAACAAGCCGAGCCGCTGAAACCACAGTTCTTGGAATGCGTGCAGAAACTCAGGTTTAGGGTTTAGGGTTTATGGTTGAGTGCAGGTCTTGAATGCACGGCAATTGCAAAGAACAGCAGCAACTGCAAAGCACAGATTGAACACCAATGAGACAAAACAGGCAGCCCTGCACCCCAAACATGGTCGTGAGAACCTGAAAAGACCGCACCGAAATTTAATGTAGGGAAACACCAGCTCAAGCGCAGTCCCCATGGTCCTTACTTGTTCAGCCGAAAGCTATACAGCATAGTTGCGATAAGTGGTGAACGAACATGCTTGCAGGCCTTGGACAAAGGAGGTGATTGGCAGATGGGGAACGACGATGATTGCAGTGCTGACAAGTAAGAAGCTACGTGCCAAGCAGCCGCGAGACTTTCCAGATGTTGCCGAGCACGAGGAATGAGGAGGAACTGGAAAGCTGCAGCCCCTGCGCGAATTGAATGGCTCTTCTCGCTCCGCTGCGGCACGAAGGGGGAAAAATGCTGACTCTGCGACCACACTGCAGCTCTGTGGCCTCACTCGGCCCGCCAGCCTTCGAAGAACATGCGGAGTGCAAGGACCAACTGGGCGTGCACGGAGCTTGGTCGGGGGGGCACTAAACAGGTCATGCTGCTTTCTGCCACAAGGTCTCCTTTGTGGATCTTGAACAAGGCCAAGAATCACATCGGCCCGGCGCCCCAGAGACGCTGTCGGCCGCAAAGCAAAGCGGAACAGCACGGCAAAGCACCTCTGGCACACAGCCAGGCTATGGCTTCGACGGACGGGTGAATCCTGGCGAGGCGGGGCCGCGCAGCGACGCTGCGGCGCGCTGCAGTCCATTTGGCTCCCAGAAACGGGAAGGTGCAGGTTTCCGCGGTGTCCGGCGATACTCCCGACTGGTTCGTCGGACCCAGGTTAGTCTGAGTCTGGCAAAAGTGGAAGCTGTTCTGCTCGTTGAGAACTGCGCAGGACCTTCGAAGGCCCCTTCCACTGCAAATCCGTTCCAGTCCGGCGATGTCCTGCCCCGATAACCTTCGAGAGGATTCTGGCTCAGTGGCCCTTATGTTGCGCAGAGGCCCAGACGTCCACTTCAGACCAGATGGCAAGATGCTCTACACCGTGAAGTGCGCCGCAGCTCGCCCCAGCTCGGGTGGCAACTTTGCAGATGCATCGCATGGCAGGACCTATCATCAGGGTGGCTTCCTCGACACCAGCGAGGTGCACCAAGTGATCGACACCAAAGGCCGACCTTGAGCCGAACCCACCCGGGCCGGGCACCCGGACTTGCCGAGCTGTGATGGCGGGCTGTTGTTGGCTGTGCTCCGAGATCATTCTTCCCGGCTCCTGCCCACCACCATCGATGTTCAAGCATAAGGAAAGACGCTTCTCGTAGGGCACAGCGGGAGATACGAGTTTCTCCTGGCCTTCCTTGTGAGGAGCAGGCGAGAGCTAATCCCCCGTGGTTGGAGAAGGCTCAGCTGAATCTCTTTTTTCGCCATGCCTCGCACAAGCCCCCCGAAAGGCTACGGCAAACCGTGCCAAGATTAGTCGCGAACACAGCTGCTATGTTCTGTGTCGATGGGTCATCATGGCATGCATCTCGAGGTCATTTGATTCATGGAGGGTGTACGGTACTCAACAGCACGTAAACCTCCAGTGAGCGCCAGCATGTCGTGTTTTGTAGAATCAGGCTGCTGTCTTGCCAGTCTTCCGCCTTAGGCGGAGGGAGTCAAGATCTGCGTGAGTTCCAAAAATCGGGGTGTCGCGTGCTTCGCTTGCGCAGCCCAGAAACTTTTCCCGAGCCGCTTCACTGGTAGCTTCTTGCAAGAGTACCATGCCTTCAGGAATTAAACCCGTGCAGCCGCTCTCCTCAAGGCCTCCCCAAGGGAGGGCCCAAGAGGACGCGTTGGAGCAATGCAAAGGAGGCGAGGGGCTGCTTTGGTTGTCAGGAGCAGTTCACCCAAGCTTTGCCAGGACTGCGGCACGAGGTGGGCTCTCGAACCTGTCTTAGCGTGCTCGAGAACCTGGCTTCAACAGTTCATGCGGTCAGCGGTCGGCAGTTTGCATGAAGCTGCTCAAATCGCATCAGCGGTGTGAGAAGAGGCTTCAACCGGGCTTGGGTATCCCGGTGTATGCCCAAATCCAGCATATAGAAAGATGCCACCGTCCTCAGACAGGTCAGGGACCGGAGGTTATGCAAGACTAAGCGTGCATATTCAGAGGTTCGCACAACACACAAGTCATCCCGGACTGTCTAGACCTTGATGGCCGGGCATGTCGCAAGACCTTCTTTCTGCAGTGCTTGCAATATTGCGGATCAACGTGCTCCTGCTGGCGCTGGCATCCGCATATTACATCCGCTTGTTCGCAGTGCAGACGCGCGGTTGCAGGAATCACACGTGTCACACAAGTGACTAGGGACTAATGATATATAGACAGCACGATGGGGGCGAGGGAAGCTTGTTGAAAACTCAGGAACTTCGGCCGTGTGATCCACGAGTTTGCCCGCTCCTCTGTTGGCGACTTGACGTAAGGGACACAGATTCGTGAAAGTGTGTTCAGGATCCGTGGTTCCACTACAGGGCCACAGAATACCTGGCAGCCAATGGCGCAGCGGCTTGTCTAGGGAGAGCAAGATTCGCCCTCGTCCTCCTCCTCCTCCAGTGCATTCCAGCGCCCCATGCAGGCCTCCTTCTTTCGATGGTACGATCGTCAAGTCTGGTACCCTTTGGGCCGGCCCGTGGGCACCACCATCTACCCTGGGATGCAGTTTGCATCTCCGCGGCAGCTGAGGAGTCGAATTCTGTGTCCCAGGGCACCTCCTCCTCCTCCTTTTCCGCTTTTTTTTGAGGTCGCTGTTTGGATCTGGCGTTTCCTGAACTTCCTGGGCCCGGCCTGGGCTCGGGAGCCCAGCCGCGGCTCGTCCTTTGAAGTGGGCCCCTTTGACCACTCCCCTGCGCAGGAGATGACACTGCATGATGCCACTCACCTGAACTTTGAGCCTATCAGCCTATCTGCATTGGAGCCTGCGGCCTAGAGTTTACAGGTTTGCGTCTTCATTCCTGCCTGGTTTGGCGTGGCCTCCACCGCGTTTTTGGGGCTGCTGACCTTCGAATGTGCCTCAGCAGAGCTCTAGCAGCCTGTCGTAGACACTCTGGGGCAGCTTTTCAAGGCACCAGGTCCGTGGACGCAGCGATCTGTGCCGCCTTCATCGTCGCGATCATCCCCGCGCGCGCCTCAGCATGAGCACGACTCCGCTGCTCCGCTGCACCTCTCCAGGCCAACCTCGTGCGCTCCGCGGCTCGGCGAGAAGGGCACACGAGCACGAGAGAGCGGCGCATCGGCGCATCGGCGCATCG